GCAGGACACGCTGGGAAGATGAACAGCTACGTCGGGGGACTGTATTGCCACAGTACATGAAAGAGGGGCACGGGCACCCAGATTTCATGATGGGGATGAAGCTGCTCCCGCTCAGCTCCTACGTGGCCATTGGGAAGACAGAGACATTACCTGGCTGTTGAAATGGGTAACAAGCTGAGGCAGGTTTGCCGATGCGAATTTTAACAGATGGTTTGTTTTTTTTTTAAAATGAAAACTACTGCTTTAACGGTTGCAGCAATCTCTGGTTGGGGGTTAAATGGAGACGGCTTCCAGGGGAGACCACCAAGGTCCATGGGTGAGACACATTCCTGTTCTGCTCCTGCCGGGATGCGGGGCACACACAAGCAGATCCACCACAAAGAGCAAAGACTTGGGAAAAAGCAGCCGGGGCAGCAAGGAAACACAGGGCAAAGCCACTGTGAGCAGGCTGGACGGAGCCCAAAAGGGCACAGGCCAATGAGGCAGAGCAGGTTCAGGGAAGAAAAGCATCGCTACCAGCTCCCCGCCAGCACCCAGCCTACAGCACAGGGATTGTAAACAGAGGAAGGCAACACGTTAGGACATGCCATCGGCATCCTCCAAATGGGATCATGCCTACGGACTTACTCTTCATTTGTCATCCAGTAACTTGGCCAAACCTGCCAGGTTTAGCAAAAGCCTCTCCCCCATGGCCGCCTGCCCCTTCTGCGCCTGGCAGGGTGCCCCGCTCTCGCCGGGCTGCCTAGCCCAAGGGACCGCCAAAAAGGATGGTCCTCCCTCCCAGAGGAGAGGGACAAAGGGACGGGCCATGCCCAGGATGTCTTCCCCTCCTCCCTGGGCGGGCAGCCCCTCCTTGCTCCAGTAGTTATAAAAGGGCTCTCAATCCATGTAATCCATTAGATACAAATTACAGCAGTTGAAGCACACTTGACCCAGAATTACAGCAAGCCCATAAAGAGCTGTGTCTTCCCAGGCAATTTACATTGTTACCAGCCCTCAAACAAACCACAGCAGAGGATTAAAAAACAACAACAAAAAAACCCCAACAAAAAAGCAAACCAAATGCAGAAAACATGATGCTTGAAACAGCATTATCAAGAAATGAAAACCATTACTGGGGTTGGTTCATATCCAGGTGCTCCTAAAAACACCAGTATTGCAGAGTCTCTAACCAATGTGTGTCTTGCAGCTACCTTAAACCAATAAACCACAGCCACTTGAAAGAAGATGCCTTGAAGCACAGCACTACATAACCATTTGGGATGGGGACTGCAACCCGGAGCCCAGAGGACACAGGCAGGAGGGACAGTGCTGACCTGGTGGCTGCTCGCCCTCCCGGCCTGGCTCCAGCTGCGAGTACCCCCCGTAGCAGCTCAGGAAAACACAGATCCCACCAGCCAGGAGGGGGACTGCAATGTTCCTGTATCAATTTTCACCTCCTTCTATGCATTTATTTATTTATTTTTAAATTACTACTAGCCCTAGATGGCATCCCAAGGAAGAGAAGCAGCAGAGGACAGGCCACCCTCCCACCAGCCCTGCAGGTATCACAGTATATTGACTTATAGACCACTGCAGGCAGGTGGCCACTGGCCACCACATCAGGCAGCAATACTCTGCAGTTATCCTAGATACCCAGGATACTCCTGCCTTACATGGAAAAATAAAGCCATCAGCATTAAAAAAAAAGGTGCAAGTTAATTTCTTCCAGCAGTCAGAGATGGATTTATCCAGGTTTGGGTTTCCTGCAGCAGCCATGCCCACCAGCTCCTACAAACACAATCCATGGTCCTCGGGGTCCCCAAGATGCTCCAGCACTGCCTGTGCCAGCAGGACCTGGACGTCTGCTGCTCCCGGCTGTGGAGACGTGCCGGTGGCATGGGCCTTCCCCGCTGCGGTTTTGTGCCGGCAAGCGAAGGGCACGAGCAGGGCAGCAGCCCCCGGCGCCGGCTGTCACTGCTGGGGTTGCCGGCGTCACCACGGGGACACTGCCACACTCACACCATGGGGCTGCACGAAGGTAGGAGGGAAGAGGGTGGCTTTTTGGGGAGGGTGACAAACAGGGCCAGCAGTTACTAGGGGACACACGATAATTAAAAACATCCAAACAGATGGAAGGGATTTGTATGTGCCTTGCTCTGAAATGTCCGACACCAGATGCTATCATAAGAAACGAGCCAGGACCATGCCAGAGGTCTTGCCTGGTCCAGCAAGTCTTACATCCAGCTAAAGCAATTAGAGGATGGCGACAGAAACTTCAGCACCATCAGGTCTAAGAAATTACCTATGTAATGAGGGGTTGGAGCTTCCAGAATTAATACACCAACTTGCCCGTGAGGACAAAGGCCAGCTTGGCTCAGCCGGGGGCAGGAGCAGGACCCTGCCCCGGGGGCGGAGGAGGACTCCTCTCGCGGCCCTGGTCATTTGTCCCGACTTAGGGCCACACCACTCATCGCAGCACAAAACAAGAGACTCTGATTACGAGAGTCTCATTTTTTGCTCTCCTTTTCCCCCTTCATTGCTACCAGAAACGTAAATACGGAGGCTGGTCCACTGGAGAAACCCAGAGCAGCTTGCACACGCGTGCCGTCTGCGAGGCTGTGGCAGCACGGGGCTGTACGTGTTAGAGCAAGAGAGGCACAGAGCTGTTAAATCAGGTCCTTTCAAGGGCTGTATTTTTTTATTCCAACTCTTTGGGAGACAGCACCTCACATGCCACTAAGAACACCACCTCTCCGGTTCATTTTGCATTTGAAGCTTGTTACCATTTCCATTAATTTAATTAATTCTATGTATGGGATTTTTTTTTAAAACACGGTCGTAATGGCAACGGTTATGTGAAAAAAAAAAAAATACTTGAAGGAAGGGAGCACATGCCTTCCTCAAAGCCAGCAGCATGCCTCATCCCTACCCGTATGGTTTAGTTTACAAGCTCATGTCAGAGAACCGATTTCACACACAAACACAAAATAAAAGCAGGAACACAACTTTTGATCATCCTACATTGATGTTTACTCTTGTTTCCTGTAGCCCCAGGTGACAAATCTGTCCTTTATACAGCGGAGGATCGTTGTGCTATTAACAAAGTCAACTGGACACTTTTAAAACTCAGGGCAGGTCTTTGCATTGGTGGCTTGTACCAAACTAAGGAATAATAATTAGTAAGCAATTAGATGTGAATCGATAAATATAAATTCAGAAACCTTTTTTTCTGAGCAGAAACGCTCGAAAGCAGGAGAATTTACAAGCAACTTTCTTACATATGAACACTTACGCCAAGAAGGGAGATGCTGGAGAAGTCAGCCCCTCCGAACACAAGGGCTTTTGTTCCACCATTCTCTGAGCTCTGAAGAAGTTTAATTTTTTTTTTTTTTTCTTCTTCATTTAACTTTGCCGGCCTGCCAGCTGGGTATAAGCCAGAAGGGTTATCCAGTCAGACCTTATTGCGATATATTTACAATGGTAGTGCATCTAAGGTTTGTTTATTTCGGGATTAAAATTCAAATGGCTAGAATCATTTAAATAATTAAAGGGCAATCAGAAAATGCCATGAAACCAAACAAATCAGGAAAAGTCATGGAAACCATCAGCAATATTTAATTCAGAAATTCTCTTTGTTAAGGAACTTAGCTGAAAGAAAACAGCTGGATGTAGTTCAACCCTCTAAATTAAAAACAATCTAACAAGGTCTATAGGGATAACTCTTTCAGCTACATATTGGAGACCAGATTCACTTCTACCAAGTAAATGTAATAGCACTCAAAGCTAGAAAGGAAATTCCTCAGAACTGAGGTAGTTTCTAAGTATCAGCACATTTTCCAATTCCTCACAAGGCAACTTAGCTATTTACAATCCATTTTTTCCCACACATAAATTTATAACTTTTTCAATTTTATGCTTCCATGATTTATTTTCTAAAGAAAAATAATCTAGCCAGAATATCCCTACTCTACTAACATCATGTTTTAATAAATAACTGGCTACTTCTAGTAAAATTAAGCCTCCAGGATTGTTTATACCAGCCAAGAATACTCCGTCTTTATAGCTTTGCAGTAATTTGGTGTGAAAATAAAGTTGAATATAAGGCTGACCCTGAGCTAACAAGTAATTAATGCTTCAATATAAAAATAGAAAATTATCCTTACAACACAAGGGTGGAATATAGCAAACCCGCTCTCTCTGGATTGGTCTCCTGGCTGGATTCCAGCGTCCAGCCGGACCTAAAGGCTACCTAAAGCTGGAGGAGACGTGCAGAATAATTTTGAGTCTTTCCGAAGACTTTGCTTTCCCTAAACTCTTTTAAAAATTATTTCATCTCTTTTCTTAAAAATATACATTTGTTTTATTCATGAGTTGCCGTTCACCACAACACTGTTCCAACTGCAAAAGCACAGGCAGAGAAAGGAGGGTGTCTCGGGTAGTGCCGAAAAGCTATAACCGCTGGGCACTGCCTCCCAGGAGACCAAACACACCGAAAAGGAGGCGTCTTCACCCTACAAGCCCCTGCCTGCTCCTACTCCAATCTGCCTGCAACAATGCCGCGGGTCGCTGCCTGCCTGCTCCTTCCCTTTTGCCCCCCATCGGAGAGGAAACAGAACTCTTGCAAAAACAAACCCGACACCCCCCCGCCTCCCCTCTCCCAAAGCATTCCTTAAAAACAAACAAACAAACAAAATTAAAACATTAATCCAGCATTCATTTAACAAATTTGCAGACAAGACACATGTTGGCATTTGGATCTGCGACATGACAAGTTGCTTCCAACTGAACAAGTTTAATGCCTTATTCCCACGGGGGATGGACGTCAGGAACTGACCGACAGGAGTTACAGCTAATTGCAAGGATCCCGGGGAACAAACGACAACTCTTCTTAGCATCTGTGGAACTGGAATTCTCTGTAGTCTCTTCCAATTTAACCAAACCTCCTGTAAAGAAAGTACAACCTGCTCCTGCCATTAACGCCCTATGCAAACGGGGCACTTGGCACACTGACCAGCTCTGCCTTCACCGTCTGTTTTACCGCATAATAAAGACAAATTACTTCCACTTCTTTCCAGATAAGGCAACTAACATAATGTGGATAAATGGGAAGTTAACTACATGAAACACGTTTTCTGCTCGTTGGGCAATTATTTTTTCCCCATAAGATAACATGATAAATAAAACCTGCTTCTGTACAGATATTTCTCATTTCAGAAACACATACTTGTTACAGGCCAAGAGAAGACCCTGGGGTTTTTTTGTTTTCATAAGAAATACAGTAAAATAGAATTTAAAAAAAAAAAAGTGATAAAGACACAAATGCAGAGCTAACTACAGGCTTGTATATACATTTTTGTTATCCACCTCTAACATGGACTCTTGGTGAACAGGACAGACTGGTAGCCCCCGTTCCTCTTATTCCCAGAATAGCAAGGGAAAAAAAAATAATCAGTATCTTAAAACCAGTGGCAACATAGTAAAAACTGTACACTGTTGTCCATTAACTTAAAAAGCAAAGTCCCTAGATGGTATAAAAGTGAAAGCAGGTGCCTTCTAACTTTGATAATAAAAGTCTTTTTCCCCACCCCCCTACGCTGCACAATTATCTCCATTGTCTTTGCATGGCCAAGAACAAAACGCTAAGGAGCAAGGCTGCTTGTGATAAACCGCTCCTGGTAGCGGCAGAAGTGTTCACGTTCTTATCGCTCTTGTTGGAGTTCCCAGTGACTTCGGTGGCATTGAACTCGAACTCCAGGGAGCACTGCTGGAGCTCGCAGCCGCTGCCGCTCTCCTCCCCGCTGCTCTCCTCACCTGCGGGAGACAAACACACGCTGTCCTCCTCTGCCGTCTGCAGCGCGACGCTTCGCTTGCAGAAGGCAGCAGGGGGGAAAAAAGGCAAGCCGGTGGATGTTTCGACATTTATGAGATGTAAGCGCGGGTCCTCTGGTTACTGCGACTTCCGCGTGCTGTTCGTCACACCCGTCCGTACCGGTGGACGAAAAGCTGGACATGAGCTGACAATGTGCGCTCGCAGTCCAGAAGGCCAACCATACCCTGGGCTGCATCAAAAGCAGCGTGGCCAGCAGGTCTCTGGTGAGACCCCACCTGCAGTACTGCGTCCAGCTCTGGAGCCCTCAGCACAGGAAAGACATGCTGGAGCGGTGCGAAAGGAAGCCACAAAAATGATCAGAGGGATGGAACGCCTCTCCTATGAAGAAAGGTGGAGAGAGTTGGGGTTGTTCAGTCTGGAGAAGAGAAGGCTCCGGGGAGACCTTACTGCAGCCTTTCGGCACTTAAAGGGGGCTTGTGAGAAAGATGGGGACAGACTTTTTAGCAGGGCCTGTTGCAATAGGACAAGTTTTAAACTAAAAGAGGGTAGATTCAGACTGGATATAAGGAAGAAATTTTTTACGATGAGGGTGGTGAAACACTGGCACAGGTTGCCCAGAGAGGTGGTAGATGCCCCATCCCTGGAAACGTTCAAGGTCAGGTTGGACGGGGCTCTGAGCAACCTGATCTAGTTGAGTATGTCCCTGCTCATGGCAGGGGGGTTGGACTAGATGACCTTTAAAGGTCCCTTCCAACGCAAACCGTTCTACGATTCCATGGGGACAACCCTCCTTGCACAGCCTGTCAGAGATGCAGGTTCCCACCCTCTTTACTAACACGCATACCCGTAGCTGAAGCTTAACCAGCTACCCCGTGTTAGCATGAAATCCAATTAAAAAGGGAAAAAGAAAAAGCAAAAGGCAAACAACAGCAAACATACTTATGTCAATGAAGTCGACATCGTTCCCACTGTATGCATTCTTCAGCTTGTTGGTCATCACCCGCAGAGCCATGATTTGCCGGCGAATCACCATGTCTGGCTTGGTAATATCGACTTCTACCTCCGGGTTATTCACTTGGCTTGCTAAGCCGTTTCCAGTCACCGCAAAGTCGTACCTGAAAAGAAACCGTTCCTGCTGGTACCGGAGCTGCAGCTTGGTGGGGCCCCGCGCCGATGGGCGAGAACGTGGGAACTCAGCGATGCCACCCCCGTTTCCAGCCTGGGCGATATCCTGAGCCCAGCGCGATCTTCCCACGTGCTAACCCTCACGGAGCCCTTCTCCGGCTTCTTACCTCATCTCCCCTCCCTGCAACCTGAGCAGCATGTGAAATTAAACACTGTTTTCATATACCCTGTGCTACAAAGGCAGGGGAAAGACAATTTTCTCCCCAACTTGAAAAGAGAAGGAAGATCTGGGGTTTATAATAATAATGGCTTACAACAGCACAAATCAGCCAGCTGCAGGCAACAGAGCAAAACAAGCTGCTGAGATGCCCTGATGCCCAGTTAGATGACACTTTCGGGAAAACAACCTTTGGGGCCATAGTTATCCCAGAGAAACCTATAGTAACTGTGGAGGCAAAAATGTAATTCTGGCTTTGCATAATGCACCTTAACCATCAAGCTGGGGTATTAAATGTGTACTTCTCACCAGGCAGACATGAGATGCAGTTTCCCTAATAACCCCAGCAGGAGAAACATCTGTGTTGTTGAAGATGAGATAATATAACCCCATGCATCGAAGCAGAGAAGAGCCGAGCTGCTCAGCCTGAGGTGTGCATGCTCAGGTCTGAACAAACGTACAGCCTCTTGGTTTAAAAGAGAGACTGAGCAACAAAACCCAAAAGAATACGTCTCCTGAAACAGGTATTTGGAGTATCATCTTATAGAGCAGGGATATAACACTTCTTTTTCCTCCTCCAATTAGTTGACTTGCAAGAAAAAATCACTGTTTAACAGAAGAAAACATTACTTTTGCTTAGTTATGATGCCAACATCAGCATTACGAGAGAGAGAAAAGCCTTTAGCACAATCTACTGATCCCAGACACCAGGCAGTGAGATATAATCATATGTCTGAAGGGCATGCTCAAACCCTGTCCTATATTTGGGAGGAATTATTATTGTTGTTGTTGTTGTTGTTGTTATGATTTGTGATCAATATTATATGTTGCAAAGAGGTCAGAGAGAGACCAAAGCGTGGAAGACTACTGAACTTTCAGCTTATTGGAGCCACAGAGAAAAGAGCAACAGCAAAGCAAAATATCTTTCACAACCCACATAGGATGGCAGTAACCGCGGTCCAACGTCCCCCAGACATCCGCCTCTGTCTCCTTGCCCAGTGCTGCCAAGTCTCCCTCTCCACTTCCTTCTGACACGAGACCTCACACACTGGGGCAATCTGCTGTGAAAAGTCCTGTACAAGCTGCTGATAAACAAGACCTCAGGAGGGCAGAGCCATTTCTTGTTGCAGAGACCCAAACCATCGCCCTGGCCGAGCGAGGCAGTTTCAGGCACACACAAAACAGTGCAAAATTTATGTGGTATGGCTCAGACCTATGGCCAAAAAATATTAAGGGCAAAAGCTGTTTTTACTTAGAAAAACTGCTGGAAAACCCTGGATGACTATTTTTTTGTTTTTAATGGAACATCTTGGATTTTGCTTATTTCCTCAGTAAGCAAACAGAAAAAAAGAAATTTTTATTTCCAAAATAAAAGTTAAGCAGTTACATAAACCATATGACAGAAAACCTTTGGCTTATTCATGTGTTGGTAATTTCTTCCTTAGAAGAAAAAAAAAAAGAAAAAAAAAGAAAAACCAAAGTTTTGTAACTATTTTTCCATAAAAAGCGTGCATGAAAACCACTGGCCCCTCGTGCCACTGACCTCAGGAGTGGAGAAGCGGACCTGTCACTGGCCCCCATCTCTCTTGCCCTTGCTCAACAAGGAACCCAGCAATAGCTCCTGGTAGAAACACCAACTGGGGGCACTGGGGCAACAGTGCTGTCAGACAACACGAGCATCCCTGCTCTTTGGCCAAGCTACAGGATTTTGTACAAATCACCTCCCCAGACCTGCGAGCAACTGGTAAGAGGTTTAGGTCCAAGAAGAGATGCTGTTATCTAGATATATAGACTTAGTTCTCTCCTTTAAAACAAACCACCAGCTAGAGGTTGGATAACCCTTTAGCTTTGCATTCAAGCTTTCCCACCTACAAAGAAGAGGGGTAACGGCAGCAGCCTGTCTTGGGGGAGCTGGGGTCAGTCCCGTAAGAGCAGAGGGCTCGGGGAGAGGAGCTGGCACGCCAGGAAAGGCTGGGGCGAGAGGGAGAGAGTTAACCAGGGGCAGCAGCATCGCCAAACCTGCTCTTGGCGCTCCCGTTCCAGCACTCGTTCTCATTGACAGTGCCTACAGACATCTTTTCATCGTTGCAAATGTTGCCAGGGAGAGATGACCAAAATTTTTTGGCTTGCTTCAGCTTCTCTTTCACATCAGTAACCTATTAAATAAAAGAAAAAAAGAAACACAGGACATAATCCAGAATACCAAACACTCGTTAAAAGTGAAGCTGGAAAGGTATTTTTTATCACAACAGACGTGTATAGGCCAGATCTTCAGGTTGCGTGTTTTGATGGTTGATTTACTTTTTTAATACAAAATTAAACACCGCTCCTCAACCACATATTACTCATAAGCCAAGCCTTTAAAACAGGCACTTTTCTAACATACAAGCGTTGAGGTAATTCACGTCTAGAGCCATGGGCAGATTACACCCCTCAGAGAGTTCAAGACAGCCAAGAAATATTAAGAAACCCTATAAATTACAAATGGAAAATTATACGCTGCGGTACTCGGCTGCGAAGCGCCTGCGTGGCACCGGCAGGACCAGGCACTCACCAGTCGGTCCAAGCTCGTGCCGGCAGCTGTAGTCGGCCGCTCCTCTGGGTTGTAGGGTCTAAAACGAGCGCTGAAACCGCTTTCGGAGACGGAGCGAGCGGTCCGGCCCTGGGCAAGTGTTTTTGGCTGGCCGCATCCCTGGAAAACCTACATGAGAGAAGGAAAGGGTTTCATGAAATGGGAGGTCACAAGAGCCTCCCTTCTTCAGACTCCAACCCAGCCCCTGCCCAAAACAGTACATCAGCTTTACATATACTTGAAAGGACATTAAAGAAAAAATGTATCGACGAGAATAGGGAAATAAAACACATTGGATAAATAAAGCCCAAGTGTCCTCTTGGCCCATTTACCTTCTGAGACACCTGCATGCTGTTCTCCTGCATGTTCATGATCGCATCCGAAATTTTCACATCAATGGGGTCCATGACTGACTCGATGTTGAAGGGACCCTCCAGCCTTTCTGCTACCTGCAGCATCGAATCTAACACAGAGAGAGAAATGAAGATTTTTAAAGGATGAGCTTCAAGGATAACAGATAACAAGAATAACAGATTGAGCGCAGAGACATTAACCACCCCAACATTGCTTCTGACCAGCACGCATCTCCAGGAAACATTTTGCTCCATTCCCAGAGCTTACAACTTCACCAGGCACTTACAGGCTGCCAGTACCAAGCCATGGGCTCATATACATCAAAAGCTGCGTTAAACGAGGGAAAGCCATCGCAGTCTGCCAAAAGGCAGCCTGTAATCAGCTCCTCCCATTAGAACAAGCATTACTAACACCTTCCTCTCCATGCTCGTTTATTAAAGGTTTCCTTGTGTCATTTGTTTTTCAAGACTGCTTTCAAAGCTGAGAGACAGAAAGCCACCAGCTTCTTCATGCTGGTCCTGAACACAAGACACCGATGTGAAAGGGCCCAAGATGACCATCGCTACCACCTCTCCCTTACGGAAAGCTAGAGGCTTTGCCATGCCTGGGGAAACCTTCTGGCATGGCATGGACAATTTGCACAAGGGAGACTGCATGAGGTAAACGTTGTGCACTGATGATTTATTTGGCACACCTCTATGCAAGTGGAGATGGAAAAGTCCCTCAGCCAACACTGGGTCACTTCTCCCGTGCCAACACGCACATCCTCAACAAATACATCATTAAACATAGCAGCTACCGAACTTCCACTGCTTCCTCTGGGAAACTATTATTGGCATTAAGTTGCATTTCAGCCCTCTCTCTGGTTCTCCCCTAGAAGGTGCCTCCAGGTACATGCCTTGTGCTAAGTGCTCGTCTGTTCTTCCCCATCGCAACCCTTACTTAACATTTGTTTTCACTATAGTCCCTTAGCCCTGTTTGCTGGTCTCCCCTCCTGCGCCACTTCGTGATGCTCTGCCACAAACCCATAATTTCCCAGTTGCATTTAATTCTTCAATTTTTCCTAGCCTACGTGACATGGGAGGCCAGGGCACAACAGCCCCTCCGGCCCTGAGGAAACCCTCTCCCGAGGAGCTCCTCCCCGCTCCCAAGGATACGCCTGTTCCCTTCCATTAAGAAGAAATGGGCATTTCACAGTTAGGCTATCAATTTCTCTTGAAAAGTGTTTCTCGTGACATTCATCCTCCTCCTCCTAAGTGCAGAAGGTACTTTCAACAAGCAGAAAACTTCTGTGGGCTCCAGCTACCTGTTAAAGCCCTATACAGGTATTACACATACTGAGCAATTTAGTAATAGCTCTGCCTTAATGCCCAAGCCATATTAAACTATGCTAAAAAACCCACAAACTAATGATAAATATACAATTAAGCTATTTGTGTATTTAAATAACAATAATAATAGTAACAGTAATAATAATAATAAACAATAATAATAAATCCAACACCAAACCCCCCACACGAATTGCAGATGTCTTCCTAGCCTGTAAATCCACTTTTTAAAGGCAACTCAGTATTCCAAAGATTTGCTGGGTGTTCGTTAAAGGTCGAACAGTCGATCAACCCATTCTAAAAACCACATCAGCCAGGACTTGCACAGCTCCGCCACAGTGCCAGTGTTTAGGGAGTGAACCCCAGGAGGAGCTGGAGCCCCCAAGAAATCCCCTCGCCCTGCAGGCACACCCCACCAGCATCAGTGATGGAGTTGTTGCAGGGCATGGCTGGAATTTAGCCGTCAGGGACTACAAACAGGTCTGAACTAAATGCATTTAAAAAAAAAAAAAAAAGAAAAAAAAAAGGTAATAACAAATGAAACAAAGAGTCTTAGACTGTATTGTGGTGGGCTCCAATAAAGTGATGCTTCAAATCTCTGAGTAATGACTGCTAGCATGAATATACCATTGTGCCAGAGGGGAGAAAAATGCTTTTGATGTGCTACCAAATGGAGACTTTTGTAAACAAGTGGAGCACAACTTAAATGTGTTCATCATTGTCAAAGCTTTTGGGGTTTTTCACGCGCATAAAGAACATCCCGGCGCAGTTTGCAGGAAGCCACTCATTTCAAATAAAAATATTATGAATAGACAGATAATAAAACACACAAAATGCATAGCTTTTTTTAAAAAAAAAAAAAAAAAAACCATTCCATTTTGTAACTACTTAATTCTCTGAGTGGCCAGGAAAGGCCGCAGATCAATAAAGTGTTTGTGAAAGACTGAAAGGAAACATAAACCCCAATTCTTCTGGCTGTTTGGCGTCTTTGTAAACTTTGAGCCGGGCAGGCCATCCACAAGACCATGGGAATGTAGAGCGAATTGGGCCCTTTGTTAGCGGGGGTGCCATGGCGTTACATGTATCACAGCCCAGGAATGCAGCCTCCGCTTTGACTGCTGGTAGAGAAAATGCATTCGGCCTCCAGCAGAGCTGCCAAAGCTGGCGAGAAAAGATAAGGAAAGTAATAATTGCCCTTGGAGAATATATTCAACTGGAGCTCTTCAGGAGCTGGGATAGATACTGGCAAGGAGCACTACATGAAATAAACTTTCATTAAAAAGGCAAAAAAAACCAAAAAGAAGGGGCGGTGGGGGGCTCTACCTCATCCACAGTTTTGATTTTGGGGGCATCCTGCACACTTTTACCTCCCACCAGGAGCTGGCTGGTGCCCCCACCAGCAGTCGTGGCGAGCAGCGAGTCCCCCTAGCCAGCCACGGCTGACATTAATAGGGTTGGCCGGGGTTCAGGACAACGCCAGCACGTCGAGAGGGAAGGCACGCTGCACTAAGACTAGAAATGAAGCTTCGGCGCAACTCGTCTCCCAAAAAGATTTTCCATTATTGGGAGAGAGGAGTTGATTATAAGTATCAATTATTTTGCCCCAGCTCTGGTGTAAAATAATTGTTATTTACAAGCCACGGTGAGGTGGCCCAGATCTGCTTCACAAAAAAAAACAGTCTGGCGGAGTGAAAAATGTACCCTGGCCATTTATTGCAAACACACAGCATGACAAAGACTGTCTCTCCTCCCTGTGACGGGGAGATAGAAGTGAATTGGGGCGGGGGGGGGAACCCAACCCACACCACATAGGCCATCCCTTAAAGACCGTTTTCCTCCTGCATACATTTGTCCTTGCTACTGGCATTGAGACAATCCTCGGCAATTCTTTCGCATTGTGCCACCAATAATCAGAAACCCACATCTTCAGCCTCACTGTCTGACTTGAAGAACAAAAGGCAGTTTTCAGTCTTAACCCCAAGATCTGATTTAAAAGGGGAGGGAAGGAGGGGGAAGACCTTGACCATTCA